GTGGTAGTTTAAAAGAAGGAAGTAGTAATACGTCAACATATTTTCAAGAAAACAACGAAGAAATCGAGGATCAAAATACTGCATCTGCATCAAGTTGGTGGAAATATTCTATCAGTTGAAGAAAAGTTTTTCACGTGATATTATTCAAGATGATTCAATTGTTTTAATATATATATAAAATCAAATTCAATAATAAATTTTAATCTCATTTTATGGTCAATGACTTTTATTAACTTTTCAACCACCCATTTCATTATTTTTTATGAAAAATACTAAAAATCTTATTTTTAACAAAATCAAATAGAGGCTAAATTTTCTTTGCTACATTTTTAAATCAATAAATATTAAAAGTCAAGAATTAGAACCTCATTTTGACTCTGTAATGGGCCTTTTGGGCCCAATTTAGACTTGAAATACAATAGAAGAAAGGGAAAATTTCAAAGGTAAGAAATTATGCATCACTCATTTCAAAATTAAGATACAAAATTTAAAACTTAAAAAATAAGATAAAATTTTATTTTATTTATGAAATAATTAATAAAAATATATTTTATAAATTAAATATATTGAGGTCACAATTATCAAATTAATTGTTCACAAATTATCTTTCGGTCACAAATAAAATTTTTTATAGGTTACAAATTATTTCATGGTTACATATCAAAAATTTTATCGGTCACAATTTGTTTATCAGCTATAAATTACAAATTTTATAAGTCACAACTTATTATACGGTAAAAACATATTAAATTATTGGTCACAAATTTATAAATTTTTAGATTATATATTAGTTATTGGTCACAATTTATCTATTTATTGATGACAATCAACCAAATAATTTATGACCACCACCAACACTTGTGATCACCACCTTACCATTACCTCTAGTCGCATCATCGCCAACACCTTCCCACTACCTCCCAGCAACACCATCATGTTAGTAAAGGTTGGATGTAATTCAGTTTCAGTTGGGCACATACCAGCTACTGAAAGCGATTCTAGGTCACCATTCGGGCAACTGACTGATCAGGGTGCACTTCCAACAAACTACCATTTTCAACTTCAAAACACTACCACCACCCCACCACCAACAAACCACCATTTTTAACTACAAAACTACTACTAGTGTCAATGCCACCGCCAATGCCGCCACCCCCACTGCCGCCACCATCTTACTATCAATGTCACCACCACCTCTTGTACCAAAAATCACAACTACCATCTCACACCACACCCACCACAAAATCTCCAAACCTGCTGCCGCCGCCGCCGCCGCCACCCCTGAATCACTGCCACCGCCTTATCAAATCCACAGTAGACTACAGTGCCACGTGCAGTTGCTGTTGTGGCTTCAGACGGTGCTACTGCTGTGTGTCATTGCCTGCTATGCGACGACAGTGGTAGAAGAGAGACGACGAAGAGGATTGGGTTAATTCTATAATATGCAGAGTGCGTTAGAAATGAAAAATGATTTACAGCTAAGGTTTGGATTGTGTTAAATTATTTTTATAATATTTAAAAATTCTATTATTATCTGATTTTTGTATAAACAAACCGTAAATCTGATTTTTAAAATGTAATTTTTAAAAGTAGGCTTCTATGAAATTTCCTTTAGAAGAAAATTAATAATTGAAGCGGTAAACCTTTCCATTCTAGTGCTAAATTTGTCAATTTCTCCAATATCTTATGGATCAAAAGTCTTTCGCCCAAATTGATTGATTAAAATTAAATTAAATTGATTTAAAAAATGAGAAAAATAATAATTTTAATTTTTTTTTCATGGAATCCAAAAGATAAATTCCAATTTAAAAAATTGATAGCTTATCAAACCAACAAAATGAATAACTCAATTATATAATTTTGATAAGTTGGGGATAAAGTAGACCATCTTAACAATTATTTAAATAAGAAACCAAACTCTATGCGTTCAATTTGGATTTCGATTCAATCCGTAGTGATATACTGATTGAATCATCTAAAGGAGTATGGTAGAAAAGTATCGACATGGGGACTAGAGAAGCGATGAAGCAATTTTAGATGCTAATATAATTTTCAATAAGTTAATATCAAAATCAATCGTTATCGTTTTTATTAAAATCTCAAGTTTGATACGAAAACCCTTTTTTTATTATGATGGATACAAGTTGATGAGTTCTAAATTAAAACGTATCGTTTCATGTTGTTTGTCAAATCTTTTAGACTTTTTGTAAATTATAAGTAATGAGTTTGCAAGTGTCACATTTCCACTAGCAAAAGTAACTAAAACTGGAGACTGGAAGGGAATTATTTATTTTAAAAAAATAGAGATATTTGCGAGAAT